TCAGTGGATCAAAAGTTATTCACAGTTAAATATTATTGGAATTTTTAATAGTAAATTCCAAAAATCCGCTGATATGATTACAATGTATATGTAACGTAATTTAGATCCGAAATCAATGACTTAATCTGAACGGCCGAAAAATCATTCGGTCAGGTGTTCCAGGAATTATGAAAATAGTTATTCCGATGCAGTCGATCAGGACTCCGATGCCTTCCGGCCCGGAATTTTGGGAATCCCCGAGTTTTATGATTGATTTGCGTGTTTTCGCAATTTTTAATTTTGTCTATCGTTATGGCACAAGAAACTATTGACATAATTAAGGCTACTAAAAGAACACTATCGGCTATATACGAGAACTCTCTCGAGATTTCAAGAAATCTAATAAATAAACGTGATGATTCTTCTGAACCAAGGTTCATATTTTTTTTTATAGATCAATATTTACTCTACATTTCTTTAACAATTACACGTTATTTTAGTGCAAAACAAATCAAGCTTGCTCCTGAGCAGTCCGTTGGTTCTACACTTCCAGCTCAGAAATTATACCGTCCACTCAACAAAGACGATTTTATGAACCGACTTGCATCGTTCAAAATATCCTTTCAATGTTATATTATGAAAATGTTATGAATTTATTCTACTTAGACTTAACTTTCGTTGTACGAATTAACATGGGCATTTAAGCCTGATTGTTTGAGTCCTGTGGAATGCGCGCGATATGGTTGGACAAATGCTGGGAAAGATTGGCTTGAATGTGAATATTGTGATGAAAAAATGCTTGTAAAATTGGGCGGTCTTGAGTTAGGTAGGATCCATTTCTACGGCAAAGCCTAATTCCCATATACAAGATCTTGTTCTGAATTCCTTTTCTGTCAAGAGGAACATTTAAAAAAACAATATCAAGAAGGATTAGCCACTGCACATTCAGCTACGTGTCCATGGCGTGAACGCCAATGTGACAGTATGTATTTTTCCGTGATTCGTAATCATTAGTTTAACACCTCACTTCCATTTTTTCACTGATGCTTATTGCCTATTATATGTTATATTCGGATTGCCAATTCAGTTTCTATATACAAATTTCCAGTTCTTTTGGATCAAGCTGTCAAAGAAAATTTTCAACTACGGGCGTCTCCTTTGATAAAACTCGGTGAAAAACTACCTGTAGTTAAGGCTGAAATGGTATTGTTCAAATGATTTAGTGTTATTACCTATTTAATTGATCATTTTGTTAATTGACATATATTCTTTTTGTTAGACTGAAGAATTTATTCAAACCATGACTGCAGCACTTTCTTTAGATGATGATAATATTGAACCCCTCGTTGTTGGTACTGCCGCATGTTTGTCTTTATTTGGGTGGGAATACGGTTATTTCGAAGGGCTGGAGGTTTTGCATTGTAAGTCATGCTTTCGCCGCTGTGCCCTAATGCATTATCGTAGCATTGCACGAAACAAGGAGATTCAAAAAGAACAGGAAAATGTAGAGCAAGCAAGTGATAGTATGGAAATTGGCGAGCATGTTATGAAAGAAACTGAAAAAAGTGATGTCGCAACAAACGTTGATGATAAAATTGAGAGATTAGTGCAAAATTTAAAGGATTTAATCTTTGATACTGAGACCCAACATCATTGGTATTGCAATTGGATTATGGGGGATGGTAGATCAACGGCAAGCAAAACATCCGAAGAATTGGCTAAAAGACAGCCCGGCTGGAGCATTACATTGGAGAGTATTAATAGAGTTTAGAACCGGGTTATAGTAAACCGGGTCACCCGTGTCAAAACGGTTCAACCGGGTCAAAAATTTACAACTCGGGTCAAAACGTTTGAATTTGTAACCTCTTACAATCTGTTACTAATACACAGAAAACATAACAAAATTTAACACATTACAAGCATAATGGAAGTTTGCCGAATGTTTGTCATGTATGTTACACAATTTGAAGATCGTTCCGCGCAAATCACATGATTGACATATTTTATTAACCAATAAAATGTCAAATAATTTATCACGTGCATAATTAATCAAACCACTTCGCATTTCGCTTCATAACGATAAAGAGCGTATTCACATAATATACAAAATTAGAACTGAGGAAAGACCCATGCAATACACAGTAATTAGCCAAAACATTAATAAGTTCGACCAATTTACCATTAAATTATTACTATTTTACCACCATCGAATTATGACGTGTTCTCTATGCGCATAAAACGGGTATATTTACAATCATAAATAATACATCATACGTATTATTTCACGTATTTATAGACTTTATTTTATTAGTAAATATGTAGTATCTTTTTAATATTAAAACTTTTAATACGTAGCTGTTACTAGATTAATATGTGTTTTATTACACTAAAGTGCAAATACTGTATAGACACAAGTGTGAATTTTCGAAATTTCGTTTTTGATACGATTATATGGGTTGACTAAAATACAATACTTCCAAAACTGGTATGCATAATGGGCTGATTTTGTACGTATCGGTTTTTCAGTGATGTAAGCGGCTCGGCTCGGACATTGACCAAGCCGAGCCGTTAGAGTAATAAAGATGTAACATTGTCTCACAAAACTAGGAATGCATTCAATCAGATGCATGAATTCTGATATATCTTCCAAAAAAAAAGAAAATTAGTGTATATGCGATATGTACGTAATATATATGCAATAGCCGTTTTCTTAACGGTATGGTTGTCTAATGGAGTACGTACGTACGTACGTACGTATAATAAAACATATAACCCGCTTCTGGATTGCTCCGTAGTGGGTTATATGTTTTATTATTAACTGAAACACTTCATTAACAACCCTACTTTCCTTAACTATATAACTACAATTAAGCATATCAGAATTAGCTAATCATTGATTATGTAATTCCAAAATTTGGCACAGGTATATAGTTGTTAAAAATATTATGATACGTATATATTACGTATACTGTATAACTGATATGTATATACTGTATATATACAGATACAGCATAATTAAGTGTGTGATAGTGAATTCTTTCGTTATGTAATTATTTAAAATTAACTATATATAATCAAATAGTCTAAATATAAGTTAATAGAAAAATTAAAGATACACATACACATAGTAAAAAAAAAGTTTGAGACAACCAATAATACAGTAATAAAGCAGAACAACTACACCAATCAGGGACCCGAAATCAAATAATTTCGGGTCTCTGCCACCAAATGAGGCAGTCATGTGATATCCTGACATTACCTCCGGAAAATTATTTCGAATATTATCATATGAGGAATACCGTCAGATACTTGCTTTCATATAGGGATTTTCCTACTCCATTCCCCATATTGTCGCGAAATAATGTCCTGGCATATTATTTCGAGACATAATTTCCAGAGCTAAGAATTAATTTAACAAGCTATTTAATTATTGTTTGCATTCTCAAAATTAATCTTAGCTCTGTAAATTGTGCGTTTCAAAATATCGCCCGGACGTAATTTCACAATACGATAAGCTTTTTCTAAAAGGAAAGCTCTCTTGATTATTATCTAAGAGACAAAACCGCTACCATTAGTTCAGAACAAATAGTTAAACATATTCTAAAGATAAATTTAATTGCTAATAATAATCGCGAACGGATTTAAATGAATTATAAAACTTGAATTATATTGTACAAATGACATCGAATTATCGAATATACAAAATCTACACACCCAATATTAATTTAAAAATCCACATTCGTTTATGTCCAGGGATCGTTATAAAGAAGTTCGTTATAGTAAGCTTCGGATTTATAAATGAATCATAATTCGATAGAAGCTAAGATACTCACGAGTTAAATAATGACAATACAGATCATTTTTGTTATAGCGAACTCTTGTTATAATGAAGAGTTTTGAATTACGGAATTATAAGGATGGATACCGTATTAGAGGTTTGTCACGTGCTCGCTCATTCCTATGAAAATTTTATCTAGATTTCTATTGGTTAGCATTGTTACACCAAAATATTATACCAATTATACTATACCAATTATACGGTTCTACGGAATTATTAAATTTTTTTTTAAAAAAAACACGAATTGGCGTGCTTTATTAACAGATATTAAATTTATACGTATTAAAAGTTCTTTATAAAAGTAAATTTACTATGTTCCTAGATAAATTTTGTAAAAAAAATTATAGATAAATGAAATTAGGGCGTCCTCGATTGGTGGCAACGCTGGATTTGGTACGCCAATACTAATTTTAGCATTTACTTTTCTGCATTTCTATGGTCGCAATGATGACGTGAGCTATTGACCATATATGTGAACAATAGAAACCACAAAAATGAAGTAAAAAATTGTTTATAATTTAAATAGAAGGGCAAGGCGAACCTAAATTTTAATTAAAAAAGAACCAATGCAGTTTTTGTTTGTAGTAATGCATAGATTCACTAGATACATACCACGTAACATTTGATATTTAAATAAACACCCGAGTTTATATATACTCCCTATCATTATCTATAATCAGGATGAGGTTGATAGGATGGGATTAAGCCAGGATAGTGATCTTTTCTAATAATGTTTTTTTAAATGTTGGGTGAAATCGAAATGTAACAGATCCCGGGTGGTTATATGATATGTAAAATACGGTAATAAGTACATAATGAAACATTAATAAATAATGATGTAGATGTTAATCAAAGATTACTTACGTACGTACGTATGTACATACAACTTGATCGGGTATTTTCCTAAAATCTGACTTTATTTAGAAATATATATCGATATATCAATATATACTTATCGTTATAAAAAGAAACGCTTTTTTGACACAAATTAAGAAATTTAGTTTCCATCGGTTTTCGTTCACATATATATAAATTCATACAAAAAGCCAAAAAATCCGGAGTAGAAAATAGTCATAAGTATAATAAAGACATTAAGCACATTCCAAGTTTCTTAGAGATCATGTCTTCGAACACGAATGCAACCACTTTACCGGCATCAACACGGTCCGTAACGAATGCTCGAAATTCTAACGGTTCTTGGAGAGCCAGTTCTTCACAAAACTTAAATAATAGTGAAGAACTGTCATATTTTTCAACTAGTGACAACTCATTAGATTCTGATCGACAAAAGAAATTAGAAGAAAGCATAAAAACGTCAAATCCGCATCCGTTGGCAAATAAGTGGACCTTCTACCTCTTCAAGTGAGTTATGATCAACTTTATTTGACCTGTTAATGTGTTGTAATAAGTTTTTATTAATTACAAGATAGATAAGACAGACTCTTTTGTTTCAAATACTAACTTAAATACCCTGTTTTTTTTCTAATGCTGACTCTTCAATTTAAATAATTTGACATTATCGCCAATAAAGATACGTTGCGAATGCTACACCTGGTAAGAACATTTCAAATTATATTAATCATATAACTATGTGAGAGAAATTATTCAAATACAAATTGTTTAGAGGAATACGAAGAAAATTTAAAAAAAGTTGCTACGGTATCTACTGTTCAGGTTTGTACGGAATTGATATATTAAAATGTTCACACATGCATGTATGTAATACTGTTCCAATTTTTAATAATTAAACCAAATTCTTTGATTTAGAATTTCTGGGCAGTATATAATAATATCATCGGTCCAAATGAACTCTCGGTAAGGTGTGCGCTTCACTTCATGAAATCTGACATTCATCCTGCATGGTACGTTATTATAATATATGTCATTGTTTTCAAAATCAATATATTTAATAAAATTCAACCATTCATATAAACTCTAGGGAAGATCCTCGCAATGAAAATGGTGGCGCGTGGTCTTTTCGTGTTAGCAAAGCGAATACCGCCGTAGTATGGAGGGAGTTGCTCATGATGTTGATCGGAGAACAGTTTGAAGACTGTGTTTCAAAAGGTATCTTTTTATATTATAAATTTTTAGTCGATTTTATATTATAAATTTAATTGATTTGGTTTATTTGTTTAATACTAATCAATTCTTTCTTCTTTGGTAGATGATGATATCTATGGTTTAACCGTATCTTCAAGATATAATTCTGATATATTTAATATTTGGAACAAGAATTCTGCTGTAAATGAAGAAGCAAAAATAATGGAAAAAATAAAGGAAGCGTTGGGACCTATTGATTTGCAAAGCCCTTATTATAAAGGTAAGAATAATCTTGTCTTGTGAAAAATCGCTAAATTACTTATCGATTTTACAATTATCTTTTTTTAATTAGCTCATAAGGATCATGCAATGTTTCATAAGGTTGACACTCCAACATCAGCAACTGTTAATGGAAAAGGTTATTAATAATCTGTTGAAATTAAAAAGATCTGAAAAGATACTAGTTATATTTATAACGTTATTTTTATTCCAGCTAAGGTATTATATTAATATATATACAATGGGCATTGAATTAATCTACTTTGTCCCTGCGTATTGTACTCAAATGCAAAAATGGTTGTCGGTTGCTTTGTACTTATCGATTATTTCATATAGCAGTTTTTATGAACAAATTAATTTGTACCTGAGCGATATTTCTGTTCCTGTCAAAAGGTCTGGCTGAATCAACTTGTAATGTCAGCAATTCTGTAGCAAAAGTTTTTATTGATATTGGATTTACGCAAATAGGTCGAAATAACGGAGGATGTGTATTGGGTTAAAGTTACTAATCGGGTCAATAATTTACTATAGGGTTCTTTGTTAGGAAAAGACTATGTAAATTATATAATCAATGCATTATTTTCTAGCAAATATCACATAATAAAATTAGTATTTGATACATGATGCATTGCAATGCATCTTTATTTGGATTATATAACAAATACTGGGATTAAGGTTTATGCTAGTGTTAAGTAATCTTAAGGTTAGGATTTTTATTAAACTTACGGAGATAGTTTTAAAATTTTTTTTTTTTAATGTATATACATATACTGTGAATACTCGTATACTGGATTACCTAGGCATATACATGCGTAGTACGTATATAATTTGAATTGACAATGATATATATGCAATTGACAATTGTACCTAGGTAGTATAGTATACTAGTATACACAAAAAAATTGGTTCACCTCTGATTTCAACCATTTCGAAAACAGTAATAAATAATATTTATCTATATAGTAGTTGACTATAAGTGTTATTAGAGCGATGTGTATATTTAAATTATATATTACATACGTACAAGATGCGATACGATTAATAATGATTTATAATTGTATAAATAATATCTATACCTCCGAATAGAATAAATCAAATTCACATAGGGATGTTATCGGTTCAAGCCAATAACATCAACTGACGCGCTTATCTTATTACTTTGTCTGAACCATAGTTAACACCGTTCTGTTCTAGTTCAATTTAGTGATTAATCAACGATTAGTAATTCTGAAAGATATGAAGTGGACTTGTAAAAAAATTTACGTGGGCGATCAATCTGGCTTGACCCTTTTACAGTTTTCTTCACCCCCTTTTTTTTTTTTTTTTTGCCAAAGGAAAACCGTACATTTAATAATATTATAAATCATCTATTTTTAGGTATACGGATTTTTCCTTTTTTTTTTTTTAATAATAAAAAATTAAATGTTATTAAATATATGGACTAATCTAATTGTTACATGTCATGTCGGGGTGTATCCTGTCGGTCAATTTACATACGTACATAGTGCAGATGATATGAGTGCGTTCAAGGGAAAACCTGTCATCGTGCTTTCAATTATATTTTTGTGTTCAGTTGGTTCTCTGAGTGTCGTCTAGGGAAAATTTATCATCGGGCTTTCGATTATATTTTGTAACAAATAATTACAAATATAATCAAAAGTCCGTGATAAATTTTTTCTAGACGGCACTCAGAGAACCAACCGGACACAAAATATAATTGAAAGTCCGATGACAGGTTTTCACTCATATATACGTAGTGATGATCACTAATAAATTTTTTTTTACGTATTAGGGATTTGCGTTCTATATTAAATTATAAAAAAGAAAATCTCTTCCACAGTACAGTATTTAACATTTTTGAATAAATGTGCTACGTAGATAAGATGTGGTACCTATAGTTAAATCACCCACATATGTCTTAAACAAGTCAAAAATTTGTTTACCAGATATAGAATACGAATTTTGTAAGATCTTAGTAATAAATTCAAGCAATTCGCTTATTAAACCTTGTTCTACTTTTTGATTATATGATTTCAGAAGCTATAAGTTCATTATCTATTGCAACAATAGAATACTGTTTTTGATTAGACGAAATATTAGTAGATGATTGAATTATCTTTATCATATAATAAAGGGTTTTGGTTATGTGATGTTTCATTATTTCGCAATAGCTTTTTTTTCCTGTTTCCTTTCTTTAATCTCGTTGCTAATTTGCTCTTTATATGTACCCGAGTTAGAAATTCGATCTTTTTTATTTTTAGAATATTTGGTCTCCTGACATACTTCAAAGCTCACATCGATCACTTTTGTCAAGAGAAAATATCAATAACGAAATACACATGTAAAAGTAAACACGATTATTTATGTTAAATTAGCCACCAGGGCCAGCTTTATTAATATTCAAATAAAATAAAGTACAGGATAAATACTGAACACGTTATAGAAATTTGCTCATTTAAACAAAATAAAGCTTCAGTCCCGTGTTAATTTTCTGATAAAAAAAACACTCGAATTATTTTGCTAATCTTGATTTAGGATAATTCGCTATTTACGATACTAGTATTTATCAATAAATAAGATATGTTAGATTAGAGATTATTAGAATATACAAAAATAAAAATAAAAATGAGCATTTGTTGTTGGTTATCCAGGTCACACCACGTGGAGGTCAATACTCGAGTGACCCGTGTACCACACTTTGGTGGATTTGGAATTAAGGAATGACAAGAGTAGGAAAGTATATGTTAAGAAAGGAATGACAAAGGTAAAAATATATATATTACGAAATTAATGATAAAGGAATGACGATAGTTAAATGGTAAAAAAAGGAATAGCGATAGTTGAAGCAGTAAAGGAAAAAAAGAATGATAATAGTTGAAGCGAAATTAATGACGAAGGATAAAATTGTTGTTATAAAAAGTAGGAACGATAGGAGTTCGGGTAGTAATGTTAAGGGTGAGATTGAGGATAGTTTGAAGGAGAAGAGTTTTGGTTGTAATAAATTTGCTTCGTCTATTGCACCGGGGGGAAACTTATTGCCAACTACAACGCCTATGACACCATTTTTTAAACATGTAACACCTCTCAACGCTCGGATAACATCTGGTCCTGTTATTACAGCTGTTATCACTATTCCTGGGACACCTTATGAAAAATTAACCGAATGATTATTCAGCCGATTCGATAAGATATTGATTTCGGCATTATCAATGTAACGTTTATTATCCTTCAGTCTACTATGATCTGCATCAATTGATAATTTTAGTTATTTTTTATTTACCGATCACAATAACAAAATTATCATATGCAGATCGTCGTATACAGAAGGATAATACCGTTACTAGGCGTGTAAGAGACCAATAACTGCATTATTCGTCAAAGATCTATTAGATGATATTCAGCCGCTATCGCGGCCGAATACATCTAACAAATCTTAGACGAATAATAACTATATATTATTTACGGAGATAGTTTAAAGCTCCATTACACAAAAATTTTGCGGTTAATTGAATATCGATATTCTTAGGCACGGTTGTAGCGAAATATAATTTATGGTTGTTTTTTCTTTATATATTGATAATGATAATGATGCGAGATATTGATACGTAATGATTAATAATGTACTTAGCTTACACAATTCAATTTGCGTATACGTATTATACATTTGAATAA